CTAGACAGAGCAGTTTGTCCTCCACTGTGGTCTCCCCTCCCTGTGGTGCCCCCAGCCAAGCAGGCTCTGTGCCCATCTGTGGGTGCGGGCAGGGCAGAGCGGGTAGACAGAACCCTCATGTGGCCCTTCCCTGGGTGGGCGGCCAGTTCCCCTGGGTCTTACAGGACTACGTGTCCCCAACCCTGGACCTCAGCAACCCAGCTGTCTTCCGGGACCTGTCCAAACCCATCGGTGTGGTGAACCCCAAGCATGCCCAGCTCGTGCGGGAGAAGTGAGCATGTGGGCAGGGAGGGCTCAGTGGGATGGGATTGGCTTGGGGAGGGGGCTGCTGCTGACTCCTCCTGCCCACGGCCCCAGGTATGAGAGCTTTGAGGACCCAGCAGGCACGATTGACAAATTCCACTATGGCACCCACTACTCCAATGCAGCAGGCGTCATGCACTACCTCATTCGCATGGAGCCCTTCACCTCCCTGCACGTCCAGTTGCAGAGTGGCCGGTGCGCCAGGGGTGTGGGCAAGGGGAGGACCTCCGCTCCTCTCCCCCATCCTGCCTCCCTGAATCCTCACCATGGCCCATACCACTGCATCTGCCAGCTTCGACTGCTCTGATCGGCAGTTCCACTCGGTGGCTGCAGCCTGGCAGGCGCGCCTGGAGAGCCCAGCCGATGTAAAGGAGCTCATCCCCGAGTTTTTCTACTTTCCGGACTTCCTGGAGAACCAGAATGGTAGCATGTGGGATGCTGGCTGCCACGGGTGTGGAACCTGGGGTGGTGAGCATGTATGGTACAGGGGGAGCACCATGCTGACCTGGTTCTCCATAGGCTTTGACCTGGGCTGCCTGCAGCTGACCAATGAGAAGGTGGGTGATGTGGTGCTGCCCCCATGGGCCAGTTCTCCCGAGGACTTCATCCAGCAGCATCGCCGGGCTCTGGTGAGGAGGTGACCACTCACAGGCTGGCACATGGCCAGGGCAGGGCTCACAACGGGGAGCCACTATCCCTGGACTGATGACCCCCCTCATGCTCCCAGGAATCGGAGCATGTGTCTGCACACCTGCACGAGTGGATCGACCTTATCTTTGGCTACAAGCAGCGGGGGCCAGCGGCTGAGGAGGCCCTCAATGTCTTCTACTACTGCACCTATGAGGGTGGGCATGCAGTACACATGTGGGGGCTGGTGTGCAGATGTGGGGGTATAGAAGGCACAGAGGGAGTCCTCAGTGCTGTCTTCCCTCACAGGGGCTGTGGACCTGGACCACGTGGCAGATGAGCGTGAACGCAAGGCCCTGGAGGGCATCATCAGCAACTTTGGGCAGACTCCCTGCCAGTTGCTGAAGGTAGGACCAGCCCAGGGGACGGTATTCACAGTGCCCAGGCCCCAGCGCTGACCAGCCACATGTCTGCAGGAGCCACATCCACCCCGGCTGTCGGCTGAGGAAGCTGCCCAGCGCCTGGCTCGCCTGGACACTAACTCCCCCAGCCTCTTCCAGCACCTGGACCAGCTCAAGGCGTTCTTTGCAGAGGTGAGGTGGGGGCGAGGCCTCAGCTTCCACTGAGGGAACTGGGTTGAGTCCCACTGTCCTCACCTGCCGAGTGGGGCACTTGGGAATACTGAGTCAAATTCACTGACTGAAAGGCACTTTGGAACATAAAGTGGACATGGGAGGAATGTGGAGGCAGGAGGGAAAGCCCACCTCCCTGGGGGCCAGGACAAGCTATAGACTCACTGAAGAGTCTCAGAAGGCCTTTGAGAGGTGAGGATAGAAGGGATGTAGCCCTGGACACCTCCCTCCCTGCATGCTCTAGCGATGGTCCTAGGCCTGACTTGGACTGCCCTCTTTTTAGGGGAGAGGGGATGTGGGGTAATGAGGTGGGAAAATCAAGGCTGAGGCCAAGCTCAGTCCTCTGTAAGGATCTTCTGCACCCATCCCAGCCTCGTGCTCTCTTGCAAAGATGCCTTCCCACACAGCCGCCCAACAGTCATGCCTGTTTCTTGAAGGGACCTCTGTGGCACTTAGTCTGTGATGTCTGGTGGCAGAGGGCAAAGGAGGGGATGGTGCCCCAGGGAATGGTGGTCACAGTGCCCAGGCCCCAGTGCTGACTGGCCATTTGTCTGCAGGAGCTACATCTACTAGGGCACAGGGAACACAATGCTGGCTCTTGGCACTACCCGCCTTGTGCTTTTCTTTTTTCCCAGCTTGCACTTGTCCCCACAGGTGATCAGTGATGGTGTGCCTCTTGTGCTGGCCCTGGTCCCCCATCGGCAGCCCCATTCCTTCATTACCCAGAGCTCTTCAGACCTGCTGGTAGGTGCACTGGGTAGGGTGCACCTCCACTGTACCCCTCTCTAGCTCTCCACCAAACCCACCTGTGTCCCCTCTGCCTGCAGGTGACTGTGAGTGCCAACGGGCTGCTAGGCACCCACAACTGGTTGCCCTATGACCGAAACATAAACAACTACTTCAGCTTCAGCAAAGACCCCAGCATAGGCAACCCCAAGTAGGACACAGGGCTGGGGTGGGGTGGGCGTGAGCTATACATGCCATCTCCACTCGGGCAGGATTGGATGTCACCCAGCAGCAGGGGAGGGCAGGAGTCTAGCTGGGGTCACCCAGGGCCTGGGTTTCAGCTTCATGGCCTGGATTCATCTACTTGCCCTTCTTTGGGTCAGGACGCAGAGACTGCTGAGTGGCCCATGGGTGCCAGGCAGTGGCATAAATGGGCAAGCCCTGGCAGTGGCCCCTGATGGAAAGCTGCTCTTCAGCGGTGGCTACTGGGATGGCAGCCTGCGGGTGACGGCACTGTCCCGTGCCAAGCTGGTGAACCAGCTCAGCCGCCACCTTGGTATGAGCAGCCTTGTGCTGGGGAAAATGAGCCATGCAGGTGCCGGGCGGGTTCTGAGGCCATCCAGGGAGGATGTGATGGTGTCCTCCCCTCCCCGTGCAGATGTAGTGACCTGCCTAGCACTGGACACCTGTGGCATCTACCTCATCTCAGGCTCCCGGGACACCACATGCATGGTGTGGCGGATCCTACAGCAGGTGTGCCTGGTGGGCAGTCCTGTGGGGTCTGGAAGCTCAGGCCTACAGCCCATCTGCCCCAGCATCCCCTCCCGCCACTGTGGTGAGCCAGGCTAGGGCTCTCTGACTGTGGACACAGCCCTCTTCTGAGCCTCAGCCTTCTCATCTGGGCCCAACCCTAAGCCGGCCCTGCTTCCCACAGGGTGGTGTGTCAGTAGGGCTGGCACCAAAGCCCGTGCAGGTCCTGTATGGGCATGAGGCTGCAGTGAGCTGTGTGGCTATCAGCACAGAACTCGACATGGCTGTGTCTGGATCCGAGGTGTGTGTTCACCTGCACCTAGGAAAGGCTTGGTTTGCTGGGTACTACCCCAGGAGCCCAGAACCCCCTGCCCACTGTCTTAATCTGCCCTTCTGCAGGCTGGAACTGTGATCATACATACTGTTCGCCGGGGCCAGTTTGTGGCAGTGCTACAGCCTCCAGGGACCTCACTGCCCGGACCGGTGTCCCACCTGGCACTGGGGTCTGAAGGGCAAATTGTGGTCCACAGCTCTATGTGGGAACGTCTGGGAGCCCAGGTAAGGGGAAGGAGAACCCAGTGGGCAGCAGGGTAGTCGGAACGGAGGGCCTGTTCCTGATATGCCTCTCTCCCTCCAGGTCAGCCATGCCTTGCACTTGTACTCGGTTAATGGGAAGTTGCGAGCTTCACTGCCCCTGGCAGAGCAGCCTACAGCGCTGGCCGTGACAGAGGACTTTGTTTTGCTGGGCACTGCGCAGTGTACCCTGCATATTCTCCACTTGAACAAGTAAGCTGCACGTTGTAGCAATTCACTGACCCTCAATGAGGAGGTCGCTGGCAGAGCACGGGGGTTCTGTAGGCACAGTCTAGCTTGCCTCACTTTTCATGGGGAGCTCTGGCCCTGGGCCCCCTTCAGCCACACAGCTGCAGGAAAACACTATGCCTGAGCCATCCTCAAAATGAAGAGGGGTGGTTGAGGGCACACGGATGAGTAAGCCAAATGTGGCAGTCGGATGCAAAGTCCCTTTGAACCTTAGTTTCTTACACCCCTCCCTTGCTCCAGACTACTCCCCGCCGCGCCTGCGCTGCTCATGAAGGTGCCCATCTGCAGTGTGGCGGTGACCAAGGAGCGCAGTCATGTGCTGGTAGGCCTGGAGGACGGCAAGCTGATTGTGGTGGGCGCAGGGCAGCCCTCCGAGGTGAGGATCAGAACTGGGGAGCGGGCTCAAACCCGCCAGGGGCCTCCTACCCTGCTCACCCCAAGCCTCTGCTACCCGGTCCAGGTACGCAGCAGCCAGTTTGCGCGGAAGCTGTGGCGGTCATCGCGGCGCATTTCCCAGGTGTCCTCGGGCGAGACAGAATACAACCCCTGTGATGTGCGCTGAGCGCGCCCTGTGGCTGCTCAGGCTCCGCCCCAGCAATGAGGCCCCGCCCTGGTGCTAGGCCCCGCCCCACGCGCTGGGCCCAGGAGGCCCCGCCCCATCCTCCTGGAGGGTGGAGTCGCCGGAAGCCCCGCTCCTCGCCGGCTGAGGGTCGAGCTTCGCGGAACGTTTTGCACAGTCTGGGCCGGGAATCCCCAGCTCCCGGATCCCGGTGCTCCTGGCAAAGCTCAGGACCGTCCGTGGCCTTAGTCCCCAAAGGCGGTCCCCGCTTGCCCGTTCAGAGCAATAAACCTGGCCTAGTTTTGTAGCCGTTGTCTCTTGAGTTATGTGTACACCAGGCGCCTCCTGTCTCAGCGACCGCAGGGCCCGTTTTCCCAGCTGTGCCGCCCTTGCCCCTGGAGTCCCAACCCCGTCTCCCGTTCGCCTCCTTCGACCAGAGTGCCTACGCTGGCTCCTTCCGCAGGGCGGTGGCGAGGCCGCGCCCCCTCATTGTCCTGCCCAATTTCCACCAACCCCACCCACGGCTCCTCTCCGCGGCTCTGGAGCACGGTGATCTGGCCTCTCCAGGATTCCTGCTGGCCTCCTGCAGCCGAGGGCAGCCCCGTGGCCTCAGAGGCCCAGGTCCATCCGGCCCGGTGGATCCTGGCACTTCCGGAGGAGCGTTCAGCAGGTCAGGAGGGGTTAGAGCAGAACACCCGGTGGTGCTGGGCAGAGGGAGCCAGGGCTGCCCACACTGAGCCTCACTGGACCTGCTGGTGCCCGCGTCTGAGCTGGGTATGTGAGAAGTCAGTTGTTTGTGCTTGTTTTGTGGGTTTGGTGTGGGGTGGGTAGGCGGGGAGAGTTCCCATCTGGCAGGACCACTCACCAACCAGGATTCTGGGAGGGCCCCCCATGTGGTAAGTGACACACCTGGCAAGGATCATAACACTGCCCTAGGTCTGGCCCGAGACCTCAAGAAGCACTACGAGATGAGTGGCCCTGTTCTTCAGGTTTCAGGTCCTCTTAGATACCCTGGTAAGAACCAACCACCCAGAACCCTTTGGCCCACGCAATCACTGACCTGGAGGGTTGAGTGCATAGTCACTACTGTCTTGGGAAGTCCTTCTACCTTGGGACAGTTCAGGGGCCCATGCCTAGATGCCTGAGATGAGCCCCCACTGGCCCGAGCTTCTCCAGCCTGGTTGTAGCTGAGATGGCCTCACAGCCTGACTCCTTAACCTCTCTTCTCATCCAGCACTTAGACCAGGTGTTTGTCCAGGTCGTTGAAACAGGTGGTTTCTTTTTCTTTTCAGAACCGGGGCCTTTGCACTTGCCAGGGAAGCGCTTATTCCACTGAGCCATCTTCCTGGTCCCTACAGATAGGTGGTTTGTAACCTGTTCTTTTCCATACTGATGGTCTGGCTACCTCGAGCCTGCCCTGTCTTCCCCATCTCAACTGATATAGGAAACTGGTACAGCTCTGGAGTCAGTCAGGATGGAATATGAGAGGGGAAGTGAAAAGAACTTCTGATAATCAGACCTGAGGAGCAATTCATCCATGCAACCTTCCCTTCCAGACTCCAAGGAGCAGCCTCCCAGCTCCCTGGCCTGCTTTGAGAAACAGCCCTAGGAAACCCTGCCCACAGTCAGGGCCATGCTCCACAATTCCAGCCACAGCAGAGGCGTGACCTCTGTAGGTAAGCATCCCTCACTCCAGATGGAGACACCCCAGCTGGGCAGCTTCCACCCTGAATGTTGCAGATCGTAGACCCTGGGGTCCATGTCCCTTATGCCTCATCTGCCCTGGATGGGAGGGGGACTAACTTTCACTAAGACAGCAGTAGCTTTTACTTTGCTTCTAGCTCACCTTGTTTTGCAATAACCTGTAAGACCTGTGCACGAATACCCAACACAATGCTCGCAGGGCACTGTGAGTGGGGGAGACTGAGTTTAATGCCATGGAAGACACATGGCACAACTGCAGTCAGAAAGGAGAGACCAAGGAAGGTTTCCAGGGTGGGAGATGCCCAATGGCTTGTCAGAGAAGGCAGCAGCAAGAGGAGTCTGGAAGCTTGGGCGAGCAGGGTGAATCAGGGAAGGGTTGGGTGTCGGCGTGGCAAGCCGAGGCAAGGCAGCAGCTAGAGTGGGAAGGGGGCCAGCAAACACCTGGTGCCGTGGAGCACATTTTGACTCTACGTGGTAAGGACTACGAAGGTTTCAGAAACAAGGTCTGGGTGAGGCTGCCAGGGACTCTTGCCTCGTGCCTTGCTCCTGACCCTATCCTTTCCTCCACAGATAACACCCTGACAGGGCAGGACAGAGACAGGGAAGGAGCATGGGCAAGAGCTGGGGGAGCCCTGACCCCCAACAGCTCCTCCCCATTCCCCCCTGAGCCTCCAGGGGCCTCAGGCAGCATCATTCCGGTCTACTGTGCCCTTCTGGCCACTGTGATCCTTGGTCTTCTTGCTTATGTGGCCTTCAAATGGTAGGTGTCGTGGCACAGCCCCTCCATGTCTGGACTCTGAGGCAGCTCCTGGCCTTGACGGAGGTGGGAGCAGACTGGCAAGCACCCCCTGCTCCCCACAGCTGGCGCTCACATCAGCAAAGACAGCAGCTGGCCAAAGCTAGGACCGCAGAACTGGGAGCCCTCAGCAAGGATCAGAGGCTTGGCCGTAGCAGCATCTTCCTGGACTCTCCTAGCAGGCTAGAGTCTTGCACCTCCAGCCAGGGTGAGCCCCTTTCCTCACTCTGTAGCCCTGTGGCACCCTTGGGCCCTGCATCCCCACCCCTCACGACCCTCACATCTTCTACCCCAGGACTGCATCCTGACCTCGGCTGCCGACTTTACCTTCATCTCCCTCGGCAGCAGCAGAAGGAAGTAGAGCAGCTCCTGGAGGTGTCAAGCGAACCTGAAAAGGGCTGGCGGGGCCTGGCAGGTCGTCTTGGGTACCAGGCTGAGGTTGTAGAGATCATGGCCCAGGGCCAGGTGCCAGCCTATAACCTACTGAAGGACTGGGCCAGCCAAGAAGGCAGCAAAGCTACCCTCAGGATCCTACAGGATGCCCTCGCTGCCATGGGCCGGGAAGATGTGGTTCAGGTCCTGGGATCCCCAGGGGAAGGCTGCTCTGTGGTGTGAGGGAACCCCACCACCCCTGCCTCCCTGCACAAATTCGCCTTCATGGGTTTCTAGCACTGCAGGCTTCAGGGTGTACTGTCCTGGGTGGGGGTGGGGATGGGGATGGGACAGAGGCTGCAAATACTATCTCTTGTGCTTCCTTCCTGGAAAGTGACCAGGACACCAAACACATGGGAAGAGGGATGCTGCCCACCCAGTCCCCACACCACCTCTTATCTAGGCTCAACTGTTTTTCTACATTTATATTATATATTAAAGGTACCTTAGACTTTTGTACTGGCTCTATCTGGCTTCTTGAGCCCAGAAAAGGGCTGGGGTGCCAGACATAGTGGTGCATACCTGTAACCCCACAATTTAGAGGCCAAGGAAGGAGGATTACAAGTTAAGAGGCCAGTCTGGGCAACTTGGTGAAAACTCTCCAGAATTGGGGTGAGGGCTGGGGATGTAGCTCAGTAGAGTGGTACCTGCTTGGCAAGTGCAAGGCCCTGAGTTTGATTTCTAGTAAACACTACCCCCCCCCAACATGGGTATGGTGGGGCTGGGGACATAGTAGGTTAATGTCCAAAGGACAGGGTAGGTAGGCAGAGGAAAAAAAAAAAAAGGCATGGAGCAGTCCCTAGGACAGAAGTGGCAAAACTATGGCACACGCAGCAGCACTGTTTATCACTGGAAGCTTGAAGTGGTTTGCTGTCACTGCCTGCGATGTGAAGGACCCTCTCCAAGCACTGGGATGGTAGGCATGGCCCTCCTAGACATGCGTGGGCTCAGCAGGCATAGATCACAATTCCCACCTGGCACCTGCCACCTGCCTTTCACTGGCTGTATCACACTGAGCAGCTATTTGGCGAGATTAGGCACGTTTGGCATGGTATGGCTACAGAAGGGGCGGCTGTTTGAGACTGTTCTTCAGATCTGTCACGTGATGACAGAAGGAAAGGCTGAAGGCCTGCACCACTGCACAGGTGACAGGCAGGCTGGTTGGTGGAGCTAGTTACTGAGGACCTCAGCTCACCTCTAGACCATGAACAGCAAGGAAGGACTCTTTAACACTAGAACTGCACTTAGGAGAGAAGCAGGCTTCCAGAGCTGCTCTGGCAGGTCAGGACAGGATACAGGCGAAGACAGTTTGGTTACTGTGCCTTCTAGAGGGCAGAGCTGGGATGGGTGGCACCAGTGAGCAGGTCTTACCTAGGAACTGTGTACAGCTGCCACTACAGCATGTATCAGGACCCAAGGCAATCCTGTCCACTAACTGAAGTGGTGCAACTGGGATGGGCTGCTCTATTAGTCCCCGATGTGTCACAGAGTGCTTGTGTTGCTCCCAAGAATCATTTACAAGGGGTGCTTTCCATCACCTTCCCTTACATAAGGAAGGGCAGGGAGTTTACAGCCCACCTTCATGCTTAGAAGAGCTTCGGGCCATAACCCTGCAGGATCAAGAAGGAAGGCTCAAGCCAGCTTGCTAGGGACACCACTCCCCTGTGAGTGGGTAATCAGACAGGGCTACTGAGGGTTGGGTCAGCAATGAGTATAAAATTCTACAAGTGGCACACACTGGTACACTGCATTCCAAAAGTAGGGGATTTAAGCTTCAAAGGAGACAGAAGATTCATCAGAGGTGTGAAAAACAAAGAATTCCCTTAAAGGTGTGTTAGCTGACAAGTGACAGGGCCCTGGTGACCACTATGTAACTGCATAACTGGCCTTGGGAAATCTGAAACCTAGAGCCGTGGGTCAAAACCTTGGGTTTGATTTAGTTGTGAGCTGCAGTGCATGTGGCCACACCCAGGTACTGCAACTTCGAACCCACCCAAAAGAGGAATGCTTCCTTTAGCATGCTCAAGCACATGAACTGAACATAATTTCTAATAGGCACAACTAGAAAATGTTAAGGGGGCTGGGTAAATCCTGTGCTTCATGAAGTTTTGAAGACTGCAGTATCATGGGAAAACACACAGCCCTCACCTGTCCCTGTGGGCTCCACATCCCTGAATTTAACCAACACGAACCAAATACCACTGACAGTATTTACAGTGTGCTAGATACTACAAGTAATAGAGATGACTTAAAGTATGGGTGAGGGTGTGTGCAGATTATAGGTAAATATTATGTCATTTAAGGGACTAGTGTACCCAGATTTTGGTATCCAGTGGGGTCCTGAGAGAATCCCCAATAAATACTGAGGGAAGCATGTGTTATTACCCTAAAGTAAGGATTTCTGTCCTTGTTCAAGAGTTCCTTTAATACTAGAATTGCAAATGAGTTATTCATCCTTCTTGAGCCCATTTCCTATTTCCTCATCAGCCACTGGCCTCAACAGGCCAATCTGTGTGCTTCAGGGTCGTTGAGGGTTAAATGACCACAGTTTGAGTCCTCATATGCTCAGCATTGTGTCTAGCAACCAGTATGTGCTTTATTTTAGCCTAAGATATGGTAGCCACTAATGTGAGCAAGCCACCGGTGGGAGCTCTGGGCCTTCCTCATTGCTCAGATGGACAGCAACAAGTGGTAAGGGTGCCACCACTGCATGATGTCCACACTCACATCCATGTACAGTGCCCTGTCATGTCCATGGCAGTACATAGGTCCTCTCTGCCCACCATGTACTGTCCTTTCAGGGTGTTGGGAGGCATAGTGGGAGTCACACTTTTGTGCCACACATGGAATGGATTTCCAGTGTACTGGTGAAATCAACCCTCTGGAGAAGGAAAGAGGTCCAGTACTTCTCCTTACACAGGAGGTTATCAAGGGGCAGTTGTATCTTGGCATACCCACTAACCAAAGCAGCTCAGTCCCAATGAGGTCTTAGGTCACATGTCTGTGCAAGTTGACCCACCCCAATTGCAGCCACAAGATCCCAAGCCCACAGATGTCAGCCTCTGGACAACTGTCTACTTCAGCTGCAACCAGATTGTAGGAACAAGGCTCCTAATAAAAGCCAATAGTGAAGATTAATCTTGGACTTTACACAACAGCCATTATCTCTTTCTCTCCAAGGACAGCATTACACACAACATACATGCTTCATTAACTTTTACAGAACACACATGCAAAGTTCTTTAATTCATTTTATTTTTTACATAAAAAGTTCAGTAAAAATTGGATAAAGTAAAGTGATTTTAAGCAGTAAATCAATCTTATCAACAGAGCACAGGGCTAGCCAAAACCACAAGGCAGCCTGCTTTGGAATATTTACATGATAACAAATTAAACCTTGCAGGAGAACTTAAACCATCCTTACAAAGTCTTTCTGTGATCCTAGCACATAGAGGCTAAAAGCAAAACAAAAGCCAAACAAAAACCAGGAAAAAACAAATTATTTTCAATATATTCACATATACATTAAAATATAATACAGATCGTCGGATAAAGGGTCTTGGGCAGGGATGCGCATGGGTCTGTGCGCTGACAGCACCACCAAGGAGGAGACCCAGGTTTGAAAGTGGGATTAAGTCAGGTCCGACCAGGGTCTTCCCTGGGCCATGGCCTCTCTGATGGCCTCTAACCACACCCCAACAGCTCGAAACTAGGCATCACTTGTAGATGGAGCTCAATGTGTGGCTCTCAGTTGACATCTGAAGGCCTGCGTTCCCAGGGTGATGTGTCATCAGTAGCACAGCCCCAGCAGTGGGGGTGGGGTGGGGCAGAGGCCCACAGAATTTCTTTGCCCAGAGTCTGGCCTATCTGATCACCCATCCTCCAGCCCTGGCCCCACTAGTCACTCTAACTCCGTGTCCTCTTTGGGTTTGTAAACAGCCCCAAACTTCTGCATGTACTTCTTTATATACTCCTTGGTTTTGTGTTTCACATTCTCATTGCACTCCAGATCCTCAGGGTTCTTACAGTACTTCAGCTCCTTGTTCATAACACCATGAGTCAGCTGTCCAGGGTACAGGAAAAGAGACCACAGCTCCCATCAGAGTGGAAACAATGTGAGGGAGACAGCAACCCAGCCTGGTGCTTCAGGGCCCCTATCACTGAGACTGGGAGTTGAATAATGGGATGGATCGGGCTGGCTCATAGTTACGACCACCAGAAGCTCAGCACTTAAATTTTCTTAGACAACTATTGCTCTCAAGTAAGGTACTCTCCCCCCCAAACCTTCCATCTTTTCCTGAGCCCCCAGCCCTGACATCTGGGCAGTAAAACCACTTTCTATGACAAAGGGGCCATCCTAGAAGAGACATAGGTTGGTCAAGACACCAAAAGACCAGAGGCAGTAGAGTACCTTGCGAGCTAGGTGTTTGAAATCCTCAGTTGTGGTGATTCTGCCTATTTTGCAGTCAGGTTTCCGGTAAGGATTCAGGCACTGGACGATGAATTGAGACATCTGCAGGCAGAGGAAAGGGAGCACACTGCTCAACAGTACAGAGCAGGCAAGGGTTGTGCTGGGGGAACAATGAGAAAAGGCAGCGAGCATGGCCAGTGAGTGTGTCTCTCTTCTTCGCTCACAATGGCTGGCCTCAACAGCGGAGTCCCAGCAAGCCAGTGAGCCCAAGAGAAGATCCTGGCTCTGCCCCAGGAGGAAAGATCCTCTCTTGGATGGACTGAGGGACCCTGCAACAAGACTCGTACTGTGGCCTCAGGTTTCAGCCACTATATTGTGACCTTGGCAAAGGACACTGAGCTACCCTTCCTGGCCTTTGTAACTCCAGTAGCCCCTGGTATATTGTCCTCAAAGGTCACTGGGAGTTTGGAAGGACTACCCTTTGCTTGCTTCATATCACAGCCATGTGATGCCAATGGAAAACGATATGCCAGCCAGACTAAGACAACCCATGGCAGAACCTTTGCCTTTCATCACTGCCAGTGTCCTCCCTTGAGCCATCTCTGTAGGGTCTATCCTGCCCAGTAGCTCTCAAAAGAGGGCACGGACCTCTGGAAGAACTGTACTTAGGAAGTATGTAAAATCACTGGGGACAAAGGGAACAAGTGGCCAGTGACAGCTACTTTGTTACTGAGCTTCCAGATATTCACAGGACAAGAGGACTGAGGCAGGCACAATGGCACATACATTAATCCTAGCACTGAGGAAAGCTGAGGTCAAAGGAATGCAAGTTCCAGTCCCACCTGGACAACTTAATGATACCCTGCCTCAAAATATAAAAAAAGGATGAGGATGTAGCTCAGTGGCAAAACACCTGTGGTTGTTTGATTCCCAAGACTACCCTTCACCTCCCAACCCAAGGAGGACTAAAGGGCTGCATTTTCTCAGTCCCTTGAGTAGGCAGTCACCGAATGGGACATTCAAGGAAAAAAAAAAAGATAGCCTAACACTATATACAGCTTTCCTTTGACTTAGAGGTTATGGAGGCCGGTAGTGAAACAGATCTGTATTGTTTGTAGAGGCAGTCAATTCAGTAAGAAGTGATTGAGGGGTTCTCAATGGGAAAAGCAGCACTTAAGCAAGACACACAAGGTAAGCCTTATATTCTTGCCCATCTTGGGTCAAGGGAAATGTTGCACAGATTTGAAACAAGGAAGGGCAGGGTTCTACCAAACCTACCTCTTTTCTGAATACTTCTTTGCTTTTTTTAGCCAGCTCACTGGAGGTATCTGCTTCTGCTGTCTTGGGCTTTTTTGATGATGTCTAGAAGTGGAAAACATGAGAAATCAGAAATTTAGCAATGCCTTGTCTTTCTTACTATCCTCAGAATACCCTTTATCACGTTTGTTTTGAGACAGGGTTTTGCTAGTCTTGGCTGGCCCTGAATTCTCTACGTAGCCCAGTTGGCCTCAAACTCACAATGATCTTCCTGTCTCAGCTTTCCCAGTGCTGTAATTACAGGCATGTGCCATTGCACCCAGCCAGAATGCCTCTTCTTCCATTTGGGTTACCTGAACTGGGATCCACTTTAGCAACCTTGACTCAGGAGAATGGCCTTTAGTCAACTTGGCTATTCTGTTTCAAATCCTGTCATCTAGTGAAGGTTCCCCCACTTAAGCTGAATTCCTCTGAGTCAGATCAGAGGCTAGATCTTTCACACAGCATTAGAGTCACTCTCTGCAACAGAACACAGTGCACGACCCAGACGACGTCCTTGTTCTAAGCTCTGCTTCACACATTGCCAAGTGAGGCCTGAACTCAAGGAATTCGACCTCTACGTCTCTCATATTCTAAGGTTCTAGAAAAAAGGAAAATGCTCGGCTCTGCAGGTATGTGTTATTCATCAGGTTTCCTCCAAAGATGGACCTGGCTATGCTCTTAGAAGATAGTTTCAGCACGAGGACTGGCTCCTTTGAAGCTGACACCTTTAGCTCAGGAATGGAAAGACTAAGGGATGAGTATAACAGTGGCAGCAACGGCAGTAGGGAGTCGTGTTATTCAAGCCAGTGAACAGATAAGTAGATGCTAAGACACAGAAGATGCTTAGCCCAAAGCTGGCAAAGTGATAAACCTAGGACCACTTCCTTCACACAATGCTAGACGAAAGGCTAACAAGCTCTCTCTAATCACGCACTGCAAACAGGTCATGAACTAGCAACCCTGACATATTGGCCAGCTCCCCACCACCTTTGCCCACAACCAGCACTCAGGCCCCTTTTCATTAAAGGTGTTTTTCCATGGAAAAGAAGAATTATGAGCACACCGTTTTGATTAACAGTTAATGCAGATGGATTTAGAAGTTACAGCAGATGCTAGAGGTATTTCATACTTCTAGTTCTATTTCATTTATTTTCAAGCACAGCATGAAGGCTTTGGTGCTGAAGAAGCTATTTATCTCCCTCTGATCTTGACTAGCTCCCAAAATAGGTAGCATCCCATTAGTTTTGGAATAGTACAAATAAATACAGCTTTCTCTAATTTGTTATCATACAGAGATCCACCTATTTCTGAAAAATAAAACATGAATAACTGTTATTTGTTTTTTTAAGATAGGGTCTTGATGTATACAGTTCAGGGTGGTCTTGAACACACTATGTAACCCAGGCCAGCCTTGAACTCACAATCCTCCTGCCTCAGCCTCGCAAATGCTGACAGTAACTATTTTGAAGTGTTGTTGTTTTTCTTTTTCCCAGTTACACAGTGATGAGTGCACTGCACAATAGGACCTTTGATAGCAAAGGCTCAAGAATTATTAAACTTCAATAGATCCCTAGCTACTATCTTGTAGATTTGAGAATTGAACAGTAGAAAGGGGTATAAAAGTGATCCAAGAATGACAACCATCTCAAGGATCCTGGACTCACTAAGGATGCCAGGCTTAGCAGGTGCTGTGTACATAGGAAGACCCTGCTTCCCTCTAAAAGGGTATGTGTTCAGAAAGCTGAAGAAACTGTCCAATACACATAACCCACCGAGTTCCATCTAGTACAGTGGTGATGAGTCTGTGGCACAATGCTGTACTTGGCTGTCTGCTGTCACTGAAAGCTCTAGAAGGATTGTCATAACTTGCTGGGTCCTTTTGAGCACTGACCAATTGGGATTGAGAAAGGAAATGTTCAAATGAGTAATTCTCAAACTTAAATCACAGAAATCATAAACTAAAGTGAAGTATTCTAAGGAGCACCAAAATTTGTGAACCTTTCTTTGCTTGGTCTACAAATGTGATAGGAAGTAATGTCTGAAACTAACATTTCTTCAAGCCCAATGCCAAGCATAGAAGCCAGATGAGAGGCTGAGTCACAGCTGAGGACTGCCCTTGTTATTGACACTACAAAGCTTGGGATTGTCCCCATCCTCATTCTTACAAAGTCCCATTTATAATTTTAGCTTTTCTAACAATATAACAGTAAAACCAACTGTCGATACCTTTCCCAAAAGCCTACTCAGAATTTAAAATGGTTATCTGTTTCTTTGGTCTTTTTTTTTTTTTTTTTTTGAGACAGGGTTTTATTATGCATTTCAAGCTGGCCTTGAACTACCTGGCCCAGGCTGACCTCAAATTTGCAACAATCGTCCTGCCTCAGCATCCTGAGTGCTGGGATTACAGGCATGTGCCACCATGTCCAGTGATAATTAAAAATTGTATCAGACATCAGACTGGACCACTGGTCTTGGACACATTAATAACCTACTTCGTGGGTTAGGGGATATTTATGTACCTGTCAAAGGCTTCACTGAAGTCTGAAAAACACACCAGAATAGAATGGGGACTCTAATACATAAAAAGCAATGTGGTTCCACAGCCTCAGCAACAATCAGTTTGCTTCTCTATGCTGCTCATATAGAGCTGCTTTTAGAAGCTGACCAGCTGTCAAGTCTTTTTCTTTATGGCATATTTAGATTTCCAAGAAACCTACTGTGAATACAAGGGAGGCCTCAGTACCTTCACATTAACTAGGGTGAAACCTGAGTCCTGGCTTAGTCAGCAGTGGCCTTAAGTTTACTACTTGGTGGCTCTGGGACCCACTCACATTAAAATACAACAAATGCAAATCCATCCTTTATTATACAGACACAATAGGTCACAAAGCTCACGAACACTGGAACTACCTGGTGTGGGCTGAGTTATAGAAATGAGCCCAACAAAAGGACAGCAGAATATACTCAGCTAGTACCAATCTGTGAATCTAATTAAATATATTTTCGAACAGGAACTGTAAAGGATACTCAATGAAGATATAAAGCCAGGCGTGGTGGTGCACACTTTAATGCCAGTTCTTACAAGGCCAACGCAGGAGGCTCACTGTGAATTTTTCTTTTTTCTTTTCTTTTTTTTTTTTTTTTGCGGAACCGGGGATTGAACTCAGGACCTTGCACCTTATCCTACTGAGCCATCTCCTCGGCCCCTAACTGTGAATTTGAGGCCACCCTGGCTATACAATTCAAGGCCAGCCTGGACTATACAGTGAGACCCTCTTTAAAAAAAAAAGGAATGGGATCTTTTGGGTAGCATGAATCAACAAGCAGAAGACAAGGCAGAGTTAGAAATCCTAAAAATACAATTCAACCTCAATTTTACAACATGTGAACATTATTTAAAAGCTTAAGAAAACATCCTTGAGTTAAAAAAAAAAAAAAAAAAAAAACCTCAGTGTATAGAGTTGCTACCACTTTAAGCAGCACAAACAACGAACTGGCTATTTCCTTGGGTATAGAAAAGGCTCCCAAGTGCACAGAAATCTCAACAAAAAGGGGAAGACAGAACAAAAAGACTACTACAGTTTATTCTAGCAAGATTATTTCAAAACTCTAGACCATATATAGGCTCTAAGTGCTTCACTCAGAGGGAAGCAAAGTTGACAAAAACAAACCTAGAAGAGTGGCGAGGAATCTATGATATGTGCTGCAGCAGGCACAGAGCACCCCCAGGCCAGCCAAGTTGCTTCAATTGTTTATCCTAAACTAGAACTTCACTATTTAGGTTTAGTATTGGCACCCTGCAATGAATAAGCCAGTCTCTAAAAGGTTTGCCATCACTGCCCTAAACTAGTCTGGGCATAGTGGCACACACCTATAATCCCAGCTACTTGAGAGGCTGAGGTTCAGTCTGAGCAACTTAGTAAAACTCTGCCTCAAAATATAATTTTAAAAAATATTTAAAAATTAAAAATTTCAAGATATAATTTAGGGGGAGAGGGTTCTGAGTTCCATTCCAAGAACTGCCTACCACCATCACAAAAAAAAAAAAAAAAAAAAAGGCAAGATAAAACATCCTGAACTAAAGTTCTTTCAGACATTACTAGGAACCAAGGGGCTTCCTACTCTGTACCTGGTCCACAAATATAATGCAGTCCTGGGAATTTCTCTCTGGTCTCCAAGCCGATGGCCAGGTTGTGCTAACAGAGCAACTTAACTATCTTTTCCATAGAGACTTGCATCTCTATGGGAAGTGAAATGATATCATTCTGCAAAAACTGGGATCAACTGAAAAATTTCATGATCCCTGATCCCACCCTCTGCAACTTACTTAACCCAACAAATACTCTACAACTACTTTAACACAATAGGGACACCTATTATATCGTGAGACTCAATGTTAATTTTAAGCCAGAAGTAGCAGCAAATAAACTGCTCTCAGTTGTGCAAGCAGTCAGCAATGATTCATGTCTGAGGTTCTCAAAAGGGAAGATTTGAGTTACACTCACCACACGATGGATGATGGAAGAGAGTACAAGATGACCAAGAGTAGAGAACAACACTGGAGGAAAACAGAGAAGGAAGGCTCTCATCGATGCTTAATCTCATTATCAAAAGCTTTACTACCACATATCAGGGTTCAAGAACTCTCTGATCATTATACAGTTTTCCTTGGCTACTCCACACACTTTAATTTTCCAGCAAGCAGCGATTTACTGATGACTCAAGCCAGAGTTGATCACCTATCAGCTATTGCTATTCTGAAATCTGCAGGATGCTCAAATTCCACACTGGATTTACTCCATACCTTCTCCTGCTCTTTCCTTCATTCCCTCGACTGAGTGATGGAATCATATCCACTCAGGCTAAAAGTAGGGGTGGTGGGCCCCTTCTGTACTCACTTGATTTGCTAAGTCATGAATACTGCCTCCCAAATGTCTTTGCCAGACTCCTCAATAGCTCTGTTTGCCCGAACTATCGTAACACTCTTCCATCTGATCTGTCCAAGCTCACTTTTTCAAATGGCCCTGTTTCAGAAGGACAAACAACTGATTGATTCTCCTGTACTAAAAGCATTCATTAACTGCCAAATATTTACCATATGTTCATCATATTAACAGGACACTAGGGATAGAACCTGAAGTTTCACATGTGCTAGGCAAGGATCCTACTACTGAAGTACCTCCTAATTCTACCTTCCTCCCTACTTACCTTCCTTCCTTTCCCTTTCATTTATTTATCCCCCCCCCCCTTGTATAGTACTAGGGATTGAATCAGAGACCTCATGCTACAACCATTTTTTATTTTGAGACAGGGTTTCTGTAAACTGCTAAACTGCCCCAGGTTGGGTTCAAACTTGCAATCCTCTTGTCTCAGCTTTCTTGAGTGCTGGGACTACAGGTTTATGACACCACGTATGTCTTATTTCTCCATGTAAAAGAGCAAACTCTCATCATCATCATCATCTTATTATATTATTATTATTATTATTATTATTATTATTATTTTTTTTTTTTTTGACTGGCTGAGACTACCTTAAGGACAGGTCTGTTAAGGCATGAGAAGCTGGGGATCGAACCGAAGTATCCTGCACCTAACTGCATTTACATAAGCAGGCACTTAAACAACTGAGCTAACGGGCAGGCCCCTTCATCATATTAAAGAATTTTCACTGCTCTCTACTTATGTCTTGTTCTGACTTTATGGCTTTGCAAAAAACTACTGTGCTCAGCTGGAGTTTGATCCCTGGTACCACCAAAAAAAAAAAA